TATAAATGATACATTTACTTGATAATTCAAATTTCTCAATACACTCCTGTCTAAATATGTCTAATAATCTTTGTCTGGTGATATGGATACAATTTGTGTTTATAAGATGAGCAACTTTTTCCCATAAATCTCCCAAGCCAAATTTAAAAAGTTCCTTCTTAACAATCAGGACCCACGGTCATTATTTATTAACACATTAGAGTAGCAAGAATTAAGCTAGACATTAGTAGAAGAACGTATTTTAATCCAGTATTTAAATACCCGTTATTTTCTCGTAACGATTAACAGGAAACGTCCAAGTTCATAATAGATCATGTGGGAACTTGTGGATGTTCTTGTATCTAAGATTTTCCTAAGGTAGCTTAAATGTATTTGTTCTATATCATGTCCCGAATGAAAACCCCATAATTTAGAATACAAGACATAAATGTATTTAGTTACATTACTTACAATATTAAAATAATTTTCATTACAAATTTTTGAGACTGAGAAGAGAGCTTTTCGACCCTGTTCAGCAATGTGTTTTTGTATAATTAGATATTTACCATTAAAAAAAATTTTATCGGGCCGTTTCATCCTCCTTGTTATTTCAATTAACCGAGTTGTACTTATCGTTAAATTGGTATAAAGACAACTCATCCCAATATAAAAGACAACTCATCCCAATATAAAAGACTACTCATCCCAATATAAAAGACTACTCATCCCAACTTTAAAACATGGGTAGAGTTATAAGACAAGTTATAAGACAACTCATCCCAACAAATTTAAGTGCCTGTTTTAATACAATTGCTTTCTTTGGAGACCACTCAGACTAGTCAGACCAAAACCAATCTGATTTTGTTATCTTAAAGGGACAATAACACTCTTGCTGGCTTGAGAGCCTTATTCTAAGTACTAGATGTTTAAGTGTCCTACCGGTTGTGTAAATTATCCATTACATCCTATTTTACTTGTCCAGAGGGTTCGAAAATATTTTTAAATCCAAGTCACATTTGAAAAGCTTTACGTTATGCTTTTCAAATCATTTAGTTGAATTTTTCCAATTTTTTAAATTAGGTGTGTTAAGATGAAATTTGTATCACCAATTAATTGGAATATTGTAAAATAGTACAATTTGTTGACCAGAATAAAGATTGGGACATATTATTCAGTTACAACAAGAGTGGTATTGAGCCTTTAATAAAATTGATATTGTTGTTTTAATCAAATTGATATTGTTGTTGTAATTAACTGATGATTACTGTTTGTATTACTGTTTTAGTACTTTGTTGTTTTAACAGATTGGTAGTTGTGTTATCTTTTATTTTTTCATCATGAAGCACTTCAAAGAAAATTAATTAACAAAACATCGATTAACTAAACTGAGTAGTAGTATTTCAGTATCATTTTTCAAAATGTCTGATAGCTGTATAGTTTGTGAGTCAGTTGTTCACCCAAGACCGGAGGCTGTTCAGTACGACGGATGTGAACGATGGCAGCACAGAACTTGTAATACTGGCCGGTAAGACTTTCATGTTATTGTATTAAATTCATCAATATTGTATTAAATTCAACAATATTGGAATACATTTTGGACAACTGGATAACAACCCAAATTAAGATGGTATCGGATGGGAAATTATGAAGGCACCAGCAAAAACAGACAAGAACAACGCAATTCAAATTATTTCAACTGTGGCATTCATACACAGACCAGACTATTAGTACCAACCAGATACTAAAGAGATGTGGGGGAATTTATGGACCTAATTGAAGGACAAACTAACTAAATGGCTAACCTACTGAACGACATACTGACAGAAGAAAAAGACATATTTATAAAAATGTATTAGTTGATCATGATATAATAAAATGTTTTATTTAATAACTTGTTGATGTTTAATAAATAATAAAATGTATTATTTAATAAATTGTTGATGTAATAAAATGTTGATGTAATAAATTGTTGATGTAATAAATAATAAAATGTATTATTTAATAAATTGTTGATGTAATAAATAATTTAACATTATTATTTTTATAAATTGTTGATCTAATAAATTCTTATATAAATTGTTGATATAATAAATTTTTATATTACTGATTAATTTAATAAATAAAAAAAAAATCAATATTTGTTGCGGTATTTATTTGTAACTTGGAATGAGTTGTCTTTTGACTTGGGATGAGCTGTCTTCTGACTTGGGATGAGTTGTCTTTTATTGGGATGAGTTGTCTTTTATTGGGATGAGTTGTCTTTGGGATGAGTTGTCAGGTATTCCGTTAAATTAACTGTTAAACCCTTACTTATTGTTACCGAAACAATAATGTATGGAATATACAAGTTTTACTCGTCGATTTTTGTTGATTACCGATCACGACCAGGATTAGTTCTCCGCTGTATATTCGTATTGTTTGTTAATTGGCGTTATGATTTTAGATTTTAGGTCAGTTCACCAATGTTTTTGTAGTAAAGTATATTCTTATTGTTTTTATATTTGATGTTATGATTTTAGATTAATTCACCGATGTTTTTGTAATAAAGTATACTCGTATTGTTTATTAGTCTATGATGTCTAACATCATTTATCTTCTTTATAAAAAAAGGTATTTTATAATTACATATTGACAGCTTAATCACTCGCCAAAATACATCATGGACTTGACGTATTACCCAATAATCAACTAAATTGCACAGAAGTCCCCAATCAAGTGATTACGCTGTCTGAAAATGGGCGACGGCTTGACTATAGAGATTGACAGTGACTTTTTTGGCGCCAGTCTAATGTACAGTCTCGCGAGATTGTGGCACTGCTACTGTGACCTTGACTTATGACCACGTGTACATATGGAAGACTAGTTAATTCATTTGTGATTACGTTACCTGGGATGTGATTTACCGATTTCCAATTGTATAATTACCTGGGACGTGATTTACCGATTTTTGATTTATTTGTCAATGGTGGAATACTAAGTTTATAGGATAATGGATAATATATAATACTACGACCACGGTAAGGTGATCATCTATGAGTGTGCATTTTTTATATTCCCCATTTTTATTCGTACTTCATATGTAAATAATCGCAATCAAAATTAACTGATCGGATAAACGGCTCGCGGGAAATTAAAAGGTTCATCTAATTTTTCAACGCCGTAGATAAATTAATCGTATGTCGATTTTTCAATGTATCTCTGGAAAGTAAACGACTCGTCTAATAAGTAGATAAGTAAACGGTGTGTTGATTTTTCAACGTATCTCGGGAAAGCAGACGGCTCGTCTAATAAGTAAATGTCGTAGATAAGTGAACGGGTCGGCCATTTTTAAACGACTCTCGGAGAAACTAAAGCTCTTACCATTAAACTAAGCCATAGTACTAACTAACCCATTTATGTAATTCTTAAACGATTTTTATCAATTATCGAACGATGTTTTAAAAGTAAACTCTATGCATACTTTCCAGCGCTAAAAACCCCGTTCTAAACGATACCAGTTCCCTAGTGTAGTCTGATGTGATGAAATAATATTAAAATAGACTGGACAACAAAATCGTTTACATTGTCGCTAGAGCGATGCCATGTGCCGGTGGGGGTCAAAGTTGACGACATACATAGAGATTATTGGTGCAGCATCGCTATAATAGTGAATGGAACATGTGTAGTAAATTCTTTGGAAATATAGTCAAACTCTTTTTGTATTTGAAAATCCAATTTTAAAAAACGTTTGAATTTATCACCATTACACCCTAATGACGGTTGAGTTCCAATTTCTTGAAAATGGGACCAAAACTGCCTGACAAAATGGCAGCTCCTTGAACGCAAATAGTGTAAAAGTATGTCATACCAAGATTGTAAACTCTCTAGAAGTCACAATTGTTATCACCTTTTGATGAAACTTAAAATATGGGTTTATGTCCCAAAGATCCCGGTTCCTTTCGCTATTTGCGCATATCCGAATATAAACTTCCTGGATTACGGCCCCTGATTGTACGAAAAATCGTGTTTTTATATGCCCACATTGACATGTAGTTGTATATTGTCGCCACCCCGGCTAAAGTTAATATGAGATTGACTTTAAATTTATACACAGTGTTTAAAGTCATGAGACGAAGAAGCCTATTGATTTTCAACGATTTCCGATAATTCCTGCCAGAGTTATGACCTTTGATCACTTTGTAAAATCTTGTGGATGCTCTAGAGGCTAAAGTTAATATCCGATTGACTTTAAATTTATACACATTGATTAAGGTCATGAGACGAAGAAGCCTGATAATTATTGCCAGAGTTATGGCCCTTGATCCCTTTGAAAAATCTTGTGGATGTTTTAGAGACCATAGTTATCATCTGATTGATTTTATATTTATACACCATGTTTACGCTTATATATAATCATTTCGATTGACTTTAGGTTGATACATAGAGTTTAAGGTCTTGAGAGGAACAAGTACATGTGCATTGATTTTCAATGATTTTTGGTAACTTGAACAGCTAAATCCATGATATTAAATGTTTTGTAAACTTGATCAGATTTTAGTGTATTATAAATGTTTCATTACGGACAAAAGTAAAAATGTGCAACAACTGTTGTTGACTGCCTGGACGGTTTATCTGCTGTGGGCGTATGTTTTGTTGCCTGGCAACCTATCTTTTAGCTTGTGGATTCTCTAGAGGTCACAATTTTTTTATCCGATTTTAAAAAACATTTAAATATATCACCATTCCACCATAATGAAAGTTGAATTCGAATTTCAGGAAAATCGAAACGAAACTGCCCAGTAAAATGGCCGCCACCATGTGCCCAAATTGAAGTCACAATTTTTATCCGATTTTGATGAAACTTGAAATGCACTCAGTCCCTTTCCATATTTGCGCACTTCAGACCACACCATTTTGGATTATGACCCCTGATTGTACGAAATATAGCTTTTGTTTTTAGCTTGTTCTTTATCCATTTCGTACAAAATGTGGGCGTATCTTGCTTGGCAACCGCTGGTTTTATATTTTTGTCCTTTTTTCAGGTGATTTTGCTAGTGCTATAGAGACATTGGTTACAGCTATATCTCTAATCAAACAATCAAAGATAGCATCAGATGATAGATGCAAAATACTAATCAGTTCATTACAAGATACATTACATGGTATAGAGGAGAAATCATATGGCTCAAAGTAAGTTTAGTTTAGCTTTCTACGTGATAGTTCAATGAATAAAGATCAACTAGAGATGCGTCAATTATTAGTTACAACATCAGTATTTGCAGATAATTGCGCCATTTTTATACTCCAGGCCTCGAAATGTTTAAAAAAAAAGCTACCTGTCGCTTTGTAAATGATTAAATACACCAAGCAACAAGCCGTGTGCATTTCCATTCCAACCACTACTATCTTTACTGTGGTGTCGTTACGGTAGAATTATTTCAGGTGACTTGGGGGTGCGTTTTCATTTATTTAGATATAATACTCCATAATGCTATAAACTAGTCTCAAGCAGATGAAAACAAGCGTAGATGGTGTGAAATTCATTGATATAAAATTGTCTACTTCAAAACTGTGTGAGTAACTGTAGCCTACGACAGAGCGAAATGTAAACAGTGCAAATGGCGGCTTTTCGCGGTATTTCCGTGCTTAATTCTTGTATTTAGAAACAAATAATGAAATGTATGTGACGTGGACGTGAGTATTGTGGTCAATTTACTGAACATCAAGTAAAATTTAGTCCACCTGTAGGTAGTTTTATTTGGTACCTGTCAGACGAAAAAATCGCATGTCGGCGACAAGTAGACAGGCAAACATTTCGAGCCATGTTAACTCCAACATTTTATGTCGTCCGTTCACATTTGTTTCTAGACGCGCTACAGGTCACTATTTGTATAAGCCCACATAGAAATGTGGTAGTATATTGCCATCACCCCTGTCTGTCCAGCGCAAGGCTCTACATGGCGACTAAAACACTCGCCATGGCGACCAAATATATTTTCTGGCTAGTTAAAATTTTCACTTGAGTCGCCAGCTGGCGACTGTAAGTTTTTTTTCTCGTTTTAAAATAATTACAAAGTTTTTTTTTACAAAATTGAATTTGTTTATTCAGCGCTTCGTAAAACCGGAACTTACTAGGGGAAATAACTCCAATTTAACGACAATATTTACGACATTCATATATTTTCTTACCATGTGCCGAAAATCGTTCTAACTTACGGCAATGTATACAAAATGTCCGACTACGCATGTTGTTGACCCATTTTTCTAACCCATACATTAATAGGGTGACCCATGCACCTACAGAAATACAGTCAACCGCTGATAGTTCGAGACTACCACTGAAGCGTGCACATTCGCCGTGTCGAGGCCAACTTTCTGACAGTATGATACTATAAATAGCCATGGCACGTGCAATTCTCTACAAATCTATCAACTATTACAGCCGTAAAAAATGTATTGTTGACGATTTTGAATAGCAGTAAAATTAAGCTTCTTGGTTATTACAGCAGATTTAGAAATTACGTTCGTTTCATTTTTTAAATCGCTTTATCATTAACTGTACCGTTAAGAGCGGCATCTTTTGGTTTAGTACAAATACTATCTCTGAAACACTCGGGTTAGACAGGAACATGATACTAGCAGTAGTTTAATTTTACTTTTACAAGCTTCTTAAAACAATTGTTGAGCTAGCTAACGTGCTCATTTCTAAATTCAATTTCTTGTTCTAGCTTTCTGTTATGTTTCGTAAAAAAGTAGTCTTGATTATCCTGACCTGTCAATCAGCCTTAGAATGGTCGATAGACTGGTTAAACGAGACTAATTTCAAAACAAGGGCACGTAACCTATCTTTTACTCAAAAGTGTCTGGATGTTATGGGCGACACATGGAACCAGTTTTCAGTCTATTATTTATAGATGATTAATGGTCATAGCTTATTAAGTACAACATGATCGTTTATTTAGTGACTATAATTGTGTGAAACTGATTTGAGGCTTGGCATATATATAAATATTGTGGCGAAATTGTCGAGATATATGGAGATATTTATTCATTAATAAAATGAATAAAAAACAAAATCTTTTAAGCTCTTTCTTTAAAAAAAAAAAGGAAGATTCCTCTCTGACACAGATTAAAAAAAACAACGCGTAATATCTAGTAGTGATTTACGTTAAAGACTACAGTTAATAGCATTGTTATTTCTGGGTACTAAAATTTTGGTGCTGGCTAGTAAATTTTTAGCATTTAGTAGCCAGTGAAGACTAAATTTTCCATGCCCATATTGACCCTTGGTCCAGCGTCCACAAGTAGTACCACTAGTGCGTTGGGCAACAGATTGTACAAATTTTCTGTTAACTCGTTCAAAGCAGACGGAATTGACAGGCAGACCTCAAGATTCTGTCCCATTTCTGATCCTGTTTATCACTAGAATTTGACCCCAAAAGGCAGAATATCGACTCAAATTTTCTGAGAGGGGGACCGTCCCCCCAGCCCCCCCCCCCCCCACCTTTCAGGTTGCTAAGTGTTATAGCCACTTCTCTAAGGTTGACAAAAATCAATAACAAAATCAATAACCATCATAATATGACATGAACTGTATGTTAATTTGAATAAAACTGCATTTCAGTTCCTTTTAATATACGAAAAATCACATTTTTATCTTGTGGACACTCCAGAGGTCACAATTTTCATCTGATTTTGATGAAACTTGAATTGCATTTTTATAACCCAAAGATCCTGGTTCCTTTACATATTTGCGCATATCGAATCTTAACTTCCTGAATTATTGCCCCTGATTGTACGAAAAATTGTGTTTTTAGCTTGTGGTCTCTCTAGAGGTCACAATTATTATGTGATTTAAAAAATCGTTCGAATATATCACTTTTACACTGTAATGATGCTTGAGTTTGAATTTCGTGAATATCGGACCAAAACTACCGGACAAAATGTAAAAATATGGTATATCAAAGTTCTGGTCCCTCTAGAGGTCATAATTTTGAATCGATTTCGAAATACATGTTTATAACCCACAGATCTTTGTGCACATCGGATCGTAACATCTTAAATTATGGCCCTTGATTGTACGAAAAATCACGTTTTTAGCTTGTGGTCCCTCTAGAAGTCACAATATTGATCTGATTTTGTATGAAACTTGAAATATATGTTTATAACCCAAAGATCTTGATTCCTTTTAATATTCGCGCATATCGGATCGTAACTTCCTGAAGTTACCAAAAATCGCTTTTTATACGCCCACATTGAAATGTGGTCATATATTGTAATCGGTCGGTCCGTCTGGTGTCCACAATTGCTTGTGGACGCTCTAGAGGCTACAGTTAATATCCGATTGATTTGAAATTTATACACAGTGTTTAAGGTCATGAGACGAAGAAATCTATTGATTTTCGGCGATTTCCGATAATCGCCAGAGTTATGGCCCTTGATCACTTCTTAAAAATCTTGTGGACGCTCTAGATGTCAAAATTAATATTCGATTGACTTTAAATTTATACACAGTGTTTAAGGTCACGAGACGAAGAAGCCTATTGATTTTCAGCAGTTTTCGATAATTACTGCCAGAGTTATGGCCTTTGATTACTTCAAAATATCTTGTGAACGCTCTCGAGGCCAGAGTTAATATCCGATTGACGTTAAATTTATACACAGTGTTTAAGGTTCATGAGTCGAAGAAGTCTATTCATTTTCAGCAATTTCCGATATTTACTGCCAGAGTTATGGCCCTTGATATTTTTGAAAAATCTTGTGGGCACTCTAGAGGTTAAGTTAATATCTGATGGACTTTAAATTTATACACAGAAGTCTACTCATTTTCAGCGTTTTCCGATATTTACTGATAGAGTTATGGCCATTGATCACTTCAATAAATCTTGTGGTAGCTCTAGAGGCCAAAGTTAATATCCGATTGACTTTAAATTCATACACAGTGTTTGAGGTCATGAGACGAAGAAGGCTATTGATTTTCAACAATTTCCGATAATTACTGCCAATGTTATGGCCCTTGATCACTTTGAAAAATCTTGTGACGCTCCAGAGGCTAAAGTGATCAGCCGAATGATCTTCAGATTAATACACAGAGTTTAAGATCTTGAGACGAACAGGTATATTGATTTTCTATGAATTTTTATGACTTGAACAGCTAAGTCCATGATGTTAAAAGTTTCGTATACTAAACATTAGCATGGGGCAGAACTTTATAAAAACCAAACAAATTCTAATGGTTTTCTGATAATTACTTAATTAGTTGTTACTCTTAATCAGGGCTCTATAAAAGTTTAGTGTGCCTGCCCACACACTTGAAAATGTGCCTTCAGGGTCATACTGAAACACAGGGATGTAGCCAGGATTTGGTGAGTGGTGTAAAAATATATTGGGCGAGCGGAGCGAGTGAAGAAAATTTTTGGGAGGGGGGCGTGGTTTTTTATGAAAATTAAACCCTTCTTGGTGTATTTTCAGAGCATCTGCTGCCTTATGTATTTGGTTCAATGGAAATCAAATTTCCATTTATATATTCAAATTTTACCAAATTCACTTAATTTTCATCAATGATTCAGGGATCTAAAAACTTTTTGACACCACCCGACCAAGCATAAAATTGTCCCACCCCACTCTGTTTCTCTGGATAGATAAGTTGAGGACCTTTCGGTATTTGTTGTTTTGTTGGGTTTTTTTTTCAAATATTACTTTATTACTTTGAGATTAAAAGTTACAACAATTCTTAAAACGGTGTTTGTGTTTTATTTGAGTACAACGAATTGTGACAACAGGTAGATATTGATAATTAAAACACGTATGATTTGACTTGTTTGTAAAGTTGTTGTACGTGTCTCACGAATATTATTATTATTACGGTGGAATGAGAATCAGGTCAGGCAGAAACTGAGAAAGCTCTCATCGTCCTCCTAGTCCTACTCTCGGGCCGTAGCAAATCCACGGTCAACACAGGTAAGAAATAAAATAAGAAACATCGTGAAAATTTGCAGGCACGTGTTGGACAATTACGACATTCAAACCTTTAACATTGGAGTGCCGTAAATTGGTCTGGGTGACCTATTTACGGCAAATAAACAAATATAAAGACCGTAGAATAATTGTAAAATGAATAGACCTAGGCCTACACATCTTCTCAGTATAAATAAACAAAATACCAATACATCTTTCTTTAAACTAATTTGGGATGATAGGGTCTACTACGGCACACAAAAATAAATTATGCTGTGACAGACATGGTTTGCGTACGTCGGCTTTTACCATGGCTGTGCCGTTTAATTGCCGTGGTAAATTTCGAGTGCCGAGTTTGTGTACAGAGAAGGACGAAGGGGTTTAAATATGACTGGGCGGCTTTCTTCGATTTTTTCTTTGTGCTGGGCGGCAAAAAATAGTGCCGGGCGCAGGCGCCGCACGGTGTGGCTACATCTTTAAAAATGTGCCTGCAAAAAAGTTTTTTTAAAGCAAATGTGCCTGCGCACGCCGTGAGCATTTGTGCGGAAATATCGATGCCTGCTCTTAATCAGATTTTAATGTATTATAAATGTTTCATTACCGAAAAAAGTAAAAATATGCGACAACTTTTGTTGACTGCCCGGATGATTTAGCTGCTGTAGGCGTATGTTTCGTTGCTTGGCAACCTCTCTTTGTTTAGCTTGTTCTCTATCCATCTCTTGCAAAATGTGGGTGTATCCTACCTGGCAGCTGCTGGTTTTATTTTAAATTTGATGTAAAGCGTTGGGACAATGAGAGGATGAGCCCTATTGATTTTCTGTGTTCTCCGTTCTCTGTCCATCTCTTTGAAAATGTGTATCTTGCATAGCAACCACTTGTTAATAAAAGTATCTGATCTTGGATTTACCATTGAGACACCCCTATTGGCTCATATCTATTATCAACAAGTTATGTTGGTTGAGAGTAAAATGGACAGATCATTGATATAAAATCAGTGGTGAAAATATTGATTACTCTCTGTATTGATAATCCTTGTTTCTTAAATTGATTGCAGGAATGAATTAGAAATGTTTATTTATTATCATTTAAGAAGTCAGCCAAGAAGATCACGTTCTAGAGAAAGAGATCGTGATAGGGACAGGAAAGAAAGAGGCAGAAGCCATCGATCTAGAAGTCGAGATCGGGAATATAGGGAAAGAAGTCGCGAAAGAGAAAGGGACAGATATCACGAAGACAGACATCGTGATCGGGACAGGGAAAGAGATCGTGAACGAGAAAGGGAATACAGAAGACATTAATATAGGTAAGTGGTCCTTGTGATTGGAAACATTATATACACCACATTACTTTATACCCATCATAAGGATTTGTCATTATTTAGCCTAAGTGTAACTAATCAGTTTATTTCAGTGACTACTAAAGTAGGTAAAGGTAAGCACTTGTAAGATTTAATGAGAAATATCTGTCTTTTTAATGTTTTAATTTTAAGAATAATCTTGCATTTAAAAACTTATGGTCACTTAATCTGATTGGTGTGACTCACATTTGATTTATTTGAATATTGATAAGAAAATAAATATCCTGTAAAGTGTTTTATTAAGTAGGTAGTTTAATATGTTAACTTTCTAAATTACAGCTTGAAACATGGCAGATCATAAGAAACTTCGCCAAACTCATTGAAGAGGCTTATTTTCTACCTGTGTATTTTCTATTTAAAGATTCCCTACTGGATATGGATTGAAGTGTGTCTTAAGATCCGGAAAAAATCCCTGATTCTAAAAACTTTCAAAATTGGAGAAAGCATTATACTGACATGTTAATTGTTTACATCATCAAATACTTGATCTGTGTTCAAAACCAATTCTTGTTATCAAATCTGATATATAAACGATTTGTTTCCAAAAAATATTTCATATTTCTGACATATTGTTAACATAGCTTATCAAATTGATAGAAACCTGTTAACTCTTTTCAACTATGAGTTAATTAGGGACATATTGTACAATCCATATCTCCTTTAAAATTGCTCCTTTTTGGTGTAATTCTTATACTGTGTTGTCTAGTCTTTCTTTTTATATCCGATTATTGGATTGAAAATATTTCTACATTTTTTTATATACATGTATATGACTTTATATTTTTTTAATACGCTTTTACAAATATATCAACCAAGAAAAATATTTTATTTTATATTTTTATAAATTTTTATTAAAATTATTTGACTTAAATGAGTGAGTGTATGAATGAATGATGTATTACTTGTAGTCTATAAAATTAGTGAGATGCATTCGATGTTGTTTCATTTTCTTGATAGTGGTTATCTTTATACACCTACATTTTAGTGTGCATGTATTATGTTTTCATACTGTCCGTCCATCAACAATTGGCTTGTGAACGCGATAGAGGCTACATTTTTTTTTTTTTTTTAACAGATAATTTTGAAGTTTGGTGTGAAGCATTCTGTTCATTTCATTTCCTACAATATTCAGCATTTTCGACTTTCCATTCTCGAGTTATTCCCCCATTTCCAAAAACTTGTGAATGCGATAGAAGCTAATAGTATTTAAGGGGGTGTACAGTAGAAATTTTAAAATTAATAAAGAGAGGAATCCAAAACCATTGAAATTACATAAACTTTGATAGGATCCAAGTCATAATAAAATTGATACAGTGACACTAGTTGGAGGAGATGTTAAAAACAAAGTGATAGGTATCACAAAACCATCTTTTATTGCACGGTTTTATGAAACCCATGACTGTTTTTAACCACTTTTCAGTATGGACATATTATGTTGTCCGTCACCCTGTCCGAAAGCCTTAACACAATATATGCATCAGTTTTTTACAGATTTTTTTCAAATTTGGTGTGAAACATTGTGATATATCAGTATTTAATGACAAGGAAATGTGTTCTTTGATTTGCTGTCCCATTGCAAACATTTGCTTCTTGAGTGGGGTGAATTGTTTATAAAGAAACTCTATCCAGGTTAAGACTATACTTAATACTGTTAACAGGCTGACTGAAAATCTGTAGAAGAAATCCTTATTGGAGACACATTAATGTCATTAATAGGGAATTCTTAGATGATACAAGGTATTTAGATGTGTCTCCAGATCCACGGTTCCAATATTGCAAATGACATACCGCTGGTTCTAAAAATGACCATAATTGCACAAACTGTAGCCATACCAAAACCGTATAAAACTTGGACTTTTCATCATTTTTTTCAATTTGTTTGATACTCAGTTTTGCATTATCAGGCTTTATATTGGATTGTTTGGCCTCAGTTTGTTTAATTTTAAAAGTTCCACCTTGGAGATGAGAAGTTTATTCTCGTTTTCCAGAATTTTGTTCTGAAGACGTATACCAATAAATATCCTGTGACAATTCAGTTTCCGTTTGACATGCTACCCCACTGGCTTCGGTTACTTTGCTCCTATCACTCTGTAAATATGCTCCTATCACTCTGTAAATACGTATAACATTAACAAAGATTCTGTTCTAAAATGTACATACATACATGTAGGCAGTGACCTCCCTAGACATTCACCAATGGCGATAATTCTTTTTATTGGCGAATAAAGTGATGATACTGGCGAAAATTTTGGCAAATGAATTTTAGAGTGTTATTTCGTAGATCTGCTAATATTAAACTTGAAATGGTCTTGTTCAAGACTTCTTTCGATCGACTCGATGGAGTATCTATTTTTAGTACATTAATTACTCTAGTCTCAATCTTACAAGTTGCAAATCGGTCAATGTTACGCATTAAAATAACCGAAAGTTTGAGTCTCGAGACTAGTATAAAACTATCAAACACAGTTATGTCCTTTTTGTGTGGCGCTGCATTGTTTACATTCGCTTCACTACAAGTTTTCTTTACTCACGCAGCAAATAGATAAAATGCCCAATAATGACAACTAATACTAGTAAACACAAAATAAGGATAGATTCCTTTAGTTCATATTTACAGGGTTTGGTCGACCCATCGAGCCTACTCCCCAGCCAAAATCACTGAATTTAGAGATACCGCCCGGTTACGTTTTTGACTGATTTTTCGTCATTTTCAGGTCAAATTTCGACCATTTGTGTAGTATTGCTATAGCCATTAATCGACCAATGGAGAACTAGGTTTTGGTTGGTGATTATAGTCTGGGTCTCACCCTACCATAGTATAATAGTCATCCAGTGCAACCTCTCTTTCCATAGGTGTCATGACACTACACAAAAGATGTGTCTGCAGATACCTGAATTATACCTTTTCTTTGAATTGCGATAACTCCACTGGAGCAGGGTTTGCAATAAAAATGAAAATCGTTTTATTTGCAGCTAGACCTGTTCTAACAACGTAAAAAATAAAATCGTTGTCAGCTAACCTTTAACAGTATGAAAATTATGACGAAAGTTACGAAATTTGTCACTTTTTTCACGTCGAAGTTCGGTTTCTGAAGTGTTGGGATTTCACCCGTACATTCCGGACATGTCCTACGCTGTTTTCCAAATGTCAGGCCAGGAATATGCCCAATCGGACATAAAGATATGGTGAATATTATTCAGAATTTCAAAATTAATATAGTGTACTGAGTGTATAACTACCACTCATCCCGATTATCATCGCAAGTAATTCTTATTTCGGACGCCTTTCTTTCATTGCTGACGCCTTTCTTTCATTGCTGAAGTTCTGTGTGCCTTTTAAAAGTGATTTAACTATCAATGCAATTTTAAAATACCATTTTACGAGAATGATTTGACATCACCACAAGTAACTCTTATTTCGGACGTCTTTCTTTCATTGCTGCCGTATAAACGAATACATTTTGGAGGAATATTACTGGCGTGAATTTGATTGAAGCAGGCAAGGATCGGCAAGCTTTCATTCCATCGTATTACGAAAACACGTAATTTTGTAGGAATATTACTGACATAAATTTGAATACCATACGGGAATTAAATATGAATACCATACGGGAATTAAATATGAATAAGCGGTTGCCATGCAAGACACGCCCACATGTTGCAAGAGATGGACAGAGAACAAGCTAAATAAAAAGCGAATATTGAAAGGAACCTAGATCTTTGGGATATAAACATACATTTTAAGTTTCATCAAAATCGGATAAAAATTGTGTTCTCTAGAGTGTCCACAATCTTGAAATTACATACTTTTACACTACTTGCGTATGAGTCATTAGGGCGTAACGGTGATATATTGGAACGGTTTTTAAAATCGGAAAAAAATTGTGACATCTAGAGGAACTTCAAGCTAAAAACGCGATTTTTGCCTACAATCAGGGGCCATATTCCACGAAGTTACTGTGTGATATGCGCGAATATCGACCGAGATCTTTGAAATCTAAACATATATTTTAAGTTTAATCAAAATCAGATAAAGATTGTGCGAGGGTGTCCACAATCTTGGCATTACATACCTTTACACATTTGCGTACGAGGAGCGGACATTTTGTCCGGCAGTTTCGGTCTGATTTTCACGAAATTCAAACTCTGCCATCATTAGTGTGTAACGGTGATATATTAAAACGTTTTTTTCTAAATCAAATAAAAATTGTGACCTCTAGACAGGCTACAAGCTAAAAACGTCAATTTTTGTACAATCATGGGCCATAATCAAGGAAGTTAAGATCCGATATGCGGGAATATCAAAAGGAACCGAGCTCTTTTGGTTATAAACATTCTTTTTAAGTTTCATCAAAATCGGATAAAAATTGTGACATTCAGTGTCCACATTCTAAAAACATGATTTTTCATAAAATCAGGGCCATAGTCCATGAATTTACGGTCAGATACTTGCCAATATCGAAAGGAACAGAGATTTTAGGGAGAAAAACCTGTATTTTAAGTTTTGCTGAAAGTGGATAAAAAATGTGACCTGTAGAGTGTCCATAAACAAATAGTGGACGGACAGGGGCGACGACAGTATACGTCCACACGCGAATGTGGGCGCACAAAAATAGCGAAGTGTTCTTATTTTTATTACGTGCAGATTTGACATTTATAAAGAAGAAAACGATGTTTTCATATCACAAACTATTATTTCGAAAATTCTGCAAGCATTTGCTGTCGTATAATGAAGACACATACTTTTGAAGGAATATTACTATTATGAATTCGAAGCAGGATCAGCAAGCTATCATTTAATCAATGTATTACGAAAACACGTAATTTTGTACGAATATTAACATAAATTTGAATACCATACAGAAATTAAATATACTCAGCCAAATTAAAAACTTGACACTGATGAATTTCAACAAATTTTTTTTTCTGGTAAGTCAAATAAATTT